GCAAATTAATATGCAAATTTATGCTAATTAGGCCACCCCACCAGCTAATTTGGATTGTGGAGAACACTGTCTGTGTCACACTGAAATTGACAGTTATTGATTTTTTGTCAAAAATGATTACTCATATCCAAGAAAATTTGTGATATTTCTCGTGCTGTAGCCACGCCCACCAATCTTGAAATGGTTGACTGTTTCCAGATTTCCGACTCTCATCAAAGTTAAAATGCGCCACCAAATGCCAAAATAGAGAGAAAGCCATATTCTTGAACTGTACTTGTATAACATTGCGCCATTCAACATACTTTTAAACGATATACCTTTTTAGGTCGTTTTTGTTTGTTTGGTGATTGGTGTTGAATTTACACCTCTGTTACCTTTACTTGCAGTTTAATTTGCGTAATAATTTATGGAAATATAAATCCGAGCTTGGGCTGTCAATGTGTTTCCACCAAGTAAATTTATAATATTATAATTCATAATTATGGCAATCATGCTAACTCGAATCACTCTCAATTTGCCTGTATATGTGTCGCTCTCAATCATTTTTGTTATCCAATCAAACGCTGCCATTCACACGCTTGTCCTCGTTGTGAACAGAATGTCAATTCATTTCCACAAAAATTATTTCTCTATTTTATTGATCACTATAGTTAAATGTTTAAAATGTTAAAATATGTTCTCTTTTTATTTTAATTTTAAATGTTTTTTTTTCTTTACTTAGACAATCGATGAAATAAAACAGTGTAGTGACGTGCCTTGTATTAAATTCTGTGTTTCCTACATGTACCTATTTTCCTGTGAAAAGTTTATTTTATGCAAATGAACCCAAAATAATTTAATTCTATGCGAATTAGCTGTGATCATTCCATGCAAATGAGCCAAAAGTTATTTAATTGTATGCAAATTAGATGTGCTTCCCTCTATGCAAATGAGCCCAAAGTTATTTAATTCTATGCAAATTAGATGTGGTCATTCCACCAATGTATTTCCCTCTATGCAAATGAGCCCAATATTATTTAATTCTATAGAAATTAGACGTGGTCATTCCACCAATGTGCTTCCCTCTATGCAAATAATTTAATTCTATGCAAATTAGCTGTGTTCATTCCACTAATGTATTTCCCTCTATGCAAATGAACATAAAATTATTTAATTCTATGCAAATTAGATGTGGTCATTCCACCAATGTGCTTCCCTCTATGCAAATGAACATAACATTATTTAATTCTATGCATATTAGATGTGGTCATTCCACCAATGCAGTGAATGACTAACACTTTGTTGTATTTTTAATTAGAGAAATGTATTTTAAAAACTAACTTATGTCATTTTTCATATCTGTAATCATGGTTATGTTCTCACCAAAACCAAGTACAACTCATTGGAAAAAAAACAAAATAATATAAAATGAAAATCCTTCCCTACCTACTGAGTACTTAGACTGTAAACAATAAATTTGTTATACTTTGGCTGATTTAATGCAGTGACGTATGCGTTCATCGGATTCCATACCCACTTATTTTTTAATCTCAGAAAGAGTCCATGTACTCACTCCATAGCTACAGTATTTGAATACGAACAGGTCACTTTATTATAAAGATCTCACTGAATATTTTAATTGGGAATTGGTTAGAAGATATACGAGACCCTTAAGTGAACAGGACATGACGTGATGACCACCACACTTTACATTTATGTTCATATCATAGAATTCACAGTATCTACACTTTTTCTGATTATCTGGATTGTGATGGCCACATTTTCAGCCTACTGTACCCTCATATTTGAACAGGAAGGGGTCAATTTATTATAAAGATCTCACTGAATACTTTAATTAAGAAATGGTTAACAGATAGGGGATAGTGTTATTTAAAAGATGGTGGTCATCAAAATTCAAATTTCATGTCAACAAACGCTGTATTTACACACGTTGTGTATGTAGCTTCATGTATGAGACCCTACGTGAACAGGACATGACATGATGACCACTGCACTTTAAATTTATGTTCATATCACAGCATTCACCATAGCTAATTTTTTTTCTGATTCTCTAGATTGTGATGGCCACATTTTCCTTACTGTACCCTCATATTTGGTTCCCATTTAAAATAAAGATCGCACTGAATATTTTCATTCTTTTAATTGGTTAGCAGATAGGGGATGGTGTAATTTAAAGTGCGGTGGTTGTCATGCAGCGTTTTCGAATTTTGTGTAAACAATGTATTTTATACACGTCACTATGAATCCCATATTGAACTAGAAGTGACACAATGTGACGTGATGAACACCGCCCTTTAAAAGTATGTTCATATCACAGCATTCACAATAACTACATAGTTTCTGATTTTCTGGATTGTGATGGCCACATTTCGCTTACTGTACAGGAAGTGGTCAATTTATGATAAAGATCTCACTGAATATTTTATATATTTAAATATTTTCCATTACACACTGATGCATTCAGTTTAACTCGGGGTTTCAAATGCCAAACCAAGCTGAAATACATGTACAACTAAAATATAACTTCTTCACATGGTACAGACACCTATACACTTAGTTCTAGTTTTTGTTACTATGCTTTAACTATGTAATGTTATTGATCACTGACCGTAAATGATGCATATTGAGGCCAGGTCAAAACTCATTCGAAGAGCACTTTAAATTTGTGGGAAAATCAGTGTTTATCAACACACAAAAATTGCACATCATGCGATGATCATCGCCGTTTATTAATATTCGACAAGAATATACTCACGCCAATAAAAGTGATAAAATGGCCACCATAATGCACTGTTAGGAATAAACGTCAGTAGAGATGCCAGATATCCTCGGTAGAACCCAGGGACTCCTTCCTGTACCCAGATAGTTTGAATCACACCAAATGTCTTCTTGACTGGCGACACACCAGCAATCACTCGTCCATCTCCCGTCTGCCCCTGCATCATCAAAAGCTGCGAGACCACATCGCACGGCACTGTTATGCTCTGTGCAATCAGAGATGCTGCGCCGCCCGCCACAAACGACCGTGTAAAATTACTACAGTGTGCAAGTTTTGTTCGGGTCAGCTCGTATGTTGTAATGTAACATTGACCAGAAAACACTGTAAATGCATTGACCATGAAACCTCGGTACAGACCACGCATACCTTCATAGCGAATTATTTTTTTAAAAGCGTCCCACGTGCCTTTATAAAACGTGTCATGTTTTTGAACTTGAAGACGTGTCTTCACAAGAATTGTAGGGTAAATACCTGCACGAATTCCCATCATTATCGAAAATCCGAATCCATAAAATTTCCTTTTGTCCATGTCGTCCCATTCTATAATTTTAGCTTCCCGCGGCGGAGATGTCATGATTGTGATAGTTTCACTTCAACTACGTGCAATTACAACCACTGTTCTGATCGCGAATGAGTTTCTACAAGTAGAAATTTCAAAACGACTAATAGTAACTTGGAAGCGGTGCACGAAGAAAGTTTGCTCCATTCATTTGCACGGACAAGTGATTGTTGTTGTTTTACCGTACGGTTACGTAATCGTGCTTGTAACCGTACTTGTCTCAAACCATAACACACAAAGCGCAGACTGGTGGTTTATTGAAAATATTCCTCGTTCATAAGATTTGTGTACAAATTTGTGAATATGCTTCCGGGTTTGTCAAATCGTCAACGTAAAATAAAAACGTGGTGTGACAAATATCATGCGATATCAGGTCGGGGATACCGGATATCGGTGGCGCGATCGTTCAGTTGGCAATACTTGCCTTTTGTCGTTAAAGTTAAACAACTGCGAAGTCTGTATACATTGTACTTTCCGCGGACTGTCGTATTCGTCTATCTCAACTAACCATTGTACGGACAGTTACAATTAATTCTCGTATTCCATGGCTTGACCAGAAATCAGAACAAACACGACCTCCATCTTCCAAAAGGCTCTGAACTACGCAGGCGCGTCGTGACCTTTAAAAATGGAAAGGTCAGACAGTCACGCACGCCCATTACAAGTAAAATAAAAATCGGATTATAAAATAATATAGCAGTAGAACTTTTGAATAAATAAAAAGAAAAGAAAAATTCACGCAAAAAAGCGGTGTCAGGTTTAGCACTTTACAGAGTCGACGTAACCCTTTGACCCCAAATGAGTGTTTTAATAACATATCTCATGGCGATGAAAGACGTCAGCTGATTGGTCAACACTGTCGCTACGAATTTATTGTTGTAACTATATTTTCTAATCAGTAAATTACTTGTCTATCATTTGCATAAAATTGTTTTTAATTTTTGAAAAAAAAATAATATAGACAATTTTTCTGAGCAGTTGCATTCATATTTAATGAAATAAAATGTTTGATTGACTGTACTGCGCTTTCGGTTTCAACCAATCACCGATCGTCTTACTCAACAACGGCACAACAGACGTGGAGCCCCCTGCAATATAACCATGGCTGCTTCAGGTAAGTTGTGTTGGGAAAATACGCGTATTACTAGTGACAGTTGTTCACTGTTTTGATAAATTGTACTTTAACGGCAAGTTGGAACGTCTGTGTACCGATGTTAGTGGTTTTTAATGACAGTTTTCAAACATTTTTGTTAAAATCAACATGTAGGTTACCGAGGACTCGCATCTATCTTGTCTATCAGCGTACCCCGTCCTACATACCTACGTTCACAAATTACAAAATACTCCGGGGCCGTGTGTAATGTCTCCAAACAGAGCACAAGACATGCGCCTAATCTTCAAAATGTTTCATAGTATTTTAATTAATTCTAAAATTGTCAGAAATGTTATTTAAATGTGTCAACCAAGGAGTAATTTTTGTTGGGATCAAAAATGACTCTGGGCAAATCACGTGTACGATATCAGCACAGAGATTTGGCACAGATTCTGATTACGTACGTTTTGGTTCGGTTCAAAGTTCCTATGAATAAAACAAAAACAAAAAATGCACACTACAGAAAACTAACATGGGTTTATCATTAAAATTAAATTGGGGCACATGAAAATTGTTAGTACATGTAAGTTATGTGGACCTCCTTCACCCTCTCTCAAATAGAACATCAAAGTATCCAAAATTCAAAAACATTAGCCCTGTATTGAACTGTAAGCACTCCCTATGAGGGGGGGGGGGGGATATTTGTTTCATTTTCAAATTTGGCCAAAGACTTACCTATATTTTACCGATATCTGCAGAATAAATCAAGAAAACGCTTGGCCAGAATACAATGCACAGCTTGTCTTATAAGAGTAAAAAAAACTGGGACAAAAAATCAAACCATAAGTGAAATGTTTCTCATTTCTGAGAATACTGTGGCTGATGGGGTTTTATTTAATGAGTTTTAAATTTAGATATAATTGGTCTACTATTGTGATTGGGAATAATAACTAACCTCTAAACATCTACTGAAAGCCCTCACAGATAGCTACCGTACTCGACCGCGTTAGCGCCCATGCCCGGGCAAGCGCCCACCTACCACTTTTGCGCAATTTTTATATTTGGGGTCACATTCGGCAAAGCGCCCACCCCTTCAAAATGCAACTAATTTAAAACTTGGTCTTGCATAACGAATCTTGGTAATCGTTT